CTACCTTTACATTTCCAACGCTCACAGTCAGTCCTGATAACAATTATTCACTATTGTATCACAAGATACCTATCTGCATCTCCTTTCATCAGCCCCGCCCAGACAGATTGGATACTACTCAGTGGAGATTCTACCTTCCTCTGTACCCTCTGGATCTAGGCTACCTGTTGAAAGCTTGTAAGCCAGTCACTTCTTGCCTTTGTACCTCCCCCCACCTCCCCCCCCATTTTGGACATCCAATTCCAAGTTGCCCATCGTTGTCTACTTTGTGTGTGGATGGGGTGGGAATGATCCTCACTGTAAAGATTTATTCCCTCTTTTGAGCTACTGAATCCATAGGTGTAGGTCAAGTTCATCAAATTGTATCAGAGTACTCTTTTTTTTTTCCTCTTCTTTCTTCTGGTTGAGCTCTGATCATCTGGTCATTGAAGCCAGGTTCAAGTGGGTATTATCTGTAAGTGTGGGTGTTCTTGTGCATATGCCCTCTCTTCTTATCATCTGAACGCTTCACTCTCCACTCTAGTCCTCTGTGACTATGTCACTGACTCTGGGCCCAAGAGTCCCAGATCTTGCCACATTGCTGGCCAACTAAGTCTCCACCTGGGTTCACAGGACTCTATTGAACGTTGTAGGGCTTAGCTCGCAGCTTCATTGCTGTTTTTCCCTCACTTCCCCTTATCAGTGATGAACGTGGTCACCAATCAGAGTGTGTATTCCCTGGAGTCCTAGTCTTGGAAGGGGTTTGCCCTGAGGGGACCCAACCACTTGCCTTGATGTCTCCAGGGCAAGCCGCTTGCTTGTTCTTGTAGTAATCAGTCAGACTGCTTATATTGTTTTGTATTTTTCCTTTTGGTTTTTCTTTCAAGAAGTATCTTCTGTTCTTCTAAGCACTCCAGGCTGGTGTGCTTGTCCTTTCAAGTGGAAATTTCCCACCTTAGAAGACTCTGGATGCTGTTCAGGATTCCACCTATGGTCTTATTTAATGCAGAGGCTCCACAGGGAGCCTCCATCACTGGGCACATTGTAGCCCCATTTTAGGTATTCCAATCAGTTATAGGCAGAAGATGGACTTAAAAAAGCTTTCTATGGTGATATTTCTGGCTATTCTTTTCTCTCCCCCTCAAGTGTCTATTTTATAATGGTATATAAGGGAAACCAAGATTCAAAAGACAGCCAAGCATCTTAACATTGTTTCTCCCCTTTTCCCCATTCCAACCATGTTTCGCTCCCTGTATCACAGAGCCCTGTTGTTCCAAGGTTGTGCATACATCATTATTTACCTCTGTCCCACTTAGCCCATGCAAACCTGCCTAATTGTTTTCCCATCTGCTTTGTTCTTCCATTTCCCTCCCCCTTCTTGTGTACTGCCCCCCTCCCCAGCACCCAAACTATCCTCTGCCTATTCCCTACCCTGTGCTCCAGCTCCCCTCCTTCCCCTCACCCCAATCCCCCACCCTCCACCCCCCACATCCCATTAACCAGCAAAGAATCCCCCCCTTTAGTAGGGGTTCTTTTCTTAGTTTTTTACAGTAGTGGTCCTATGCAGTATTTCTCCTTTTGTGACTGACTAATTTCACTCAACATAATGTCCTCAAGCTTCATCTGTGTTATGTGGTGGCTTGCAGCTTCCTTGTTATTCTTCAAGGTAGCATAATATTCCGTGGTGTGTATGTACCACAGTTTGTTTATCCGTTCTTCAGTTGATGGGCACTTAGGCTATCTCCATCTTTTTGCTATTGTAAATAGTGCTGCTATGAACATTCGTGTGCATATATCTACTCGTGTTATGGCTCGTATTTCTTGTGGGAAAATACCAAGTAGAGGAATTGCTGGATCATAAGGTATTTCTATTTCCAACCTTCTAAGGAAGCACCAATTGCTTTCCAGAGAAGTTGGACCATTTTGCAATGATTGGCTTCTTTTATGCACAGGAAAATCTCTGAAAACTTGTCAAGTATTTTGGCATGTATCAATATCTCATTTCTTTTTATTGCTCAGTGTTATTTCATGGGATGGGTATCCCATAGTTTGACCATCATGCATTGGAGGACATCTGATTTGTTTCTTCTTCGTACCTATTGCAAATAAAGCTGCTATAAACATTAATGAACAAGCTTTTATATAAATGTACATTTCATTCCTTTGATATAAATGCCTACGAGTGCAGTTGCTAGATTGGATAGTAGTTGTTTCATTTTTAAGAAACTAGAGCTTTTCTTAAGTGGTTGTACTACTCACACATTCCCATTAGCAGTGTAAGAGTGATCCACTTTCTCAGCAGCAAAGATTGGGTAGTCTGGAACACTTAATTATATTCATGAGGAACTTCTACATAGAGCAAGATGCTGTTGTTCCAACAGAACAAGGGGGCGCTAAATAAATGGTTTAAAATCAGGAATGTGTGTGCCAGGGTTGTATTCTTCCATCATACTTACTCAGTCTGTATGCTGAGCCAGTAATCCAAGAAGCTGGATTATATGAAGAAGAATGTGGCGTCAGGATCGGAGGGAGACTAATCAGCAGCCTGCAGTAGTCAGGTGATACAGCCTTGCTTGCTGAAAGTGAATAGCACTTAAAATACTTACTGATGAAGATAAAAAACTGCAGCCTTTAGTATGGGCTGTACCTCAGTGTAATGAAAACAAAAATCCTCATCACTGTTTCAATAAATTGTTCAGTGCTTTCGAGCTGGTCTGCCTCATAACAACCCTGTATAGGATTTCCGAGACTTTTTAAATCTTTGCGGGAGCAGAAAGACTTTTCTCCCGGAGCTGCTGGTGGCCTCCAATTGCAGACCTTGTGGTTTACAGTCCAGTGCTTATTATATGGAGCCACTACACTCTCCAGAAATAATGTGGTAAATGGAGAACAAAATTAAAGTTGACAAAGACTTAATGTTACTTGGATCTACTGTCAGCACTCACAGAAGCAGCAGTCAAGAAATTAACGTATTGCGTTAGGCAGATCTGCAGCACAGGACCTCTTTAAAGTGCTCAGAAGCAAAGATGTCAGTATGAGGACTAAGGTGAGCCTGACCCAAGCCATGGTACTTTCAGTGGCTTTATATGTGTGTAAAAGTTGGACAATGAATAAGGAAGACAGAAGAATTGATGCATTTGAGTAACAGTGTTGTAGGTGAGTAGTGTAAGTACCATGGGCTGCCAGAAGAACAAACAAATCTGCGTTGGAAGAACAGCCAGAATGCTCCGTACAACCAGGTTGGTGAGACTTCATTTCTCAATCTTAGGATATATGAAAAGTCCTTACAAGGAGAGAGACATCATGGTTGGTGAAATGGAGGGTCAGTGAAAAAGAGGAAGACCCCCAATGGGATGGATTGGCACAGTGGCAGCAGCAGTGAGCTCAAGCGTAACAAAGAGTGTAAGGATAGTGCAGGCAGTGTTTTACTCTGTTTTGCATAGGGTCACGAGTGAGAATTGACTCAAAAGGCACTGAACAACAACAGTGGTTAATGATGGTGAACATCTTTTCATGTCTTGATTTGCCATCTTTGTACTCTCTTTGATGGAGTGTCTGTTCAGGTCTTTTGCCCACTATCTAATTGTACTTTTTTATTCTTGTTGAGTTTTTAGTGTTCTTAGAATATTCTAGATATCAGTCCTTTGTCAGAGTTGTGTTGGCGTCATGGCTTCCTTATGTGTAACAAAATGAAGCTTTGCCCAGTCCTGTGCCACCGTCATGATCACTAGTGTGCTTGAGTCCATAGTTGTGACTGGTGCGTCATTCCCCCCTATTGAGGGTTTCCCTCCTTCTGCTGATCCCTCTCCTTTTCCAAATGTGCTGTCCTTTTCTAGTACTTGGTCATTCCTGATGAAGTGCCCAAAGCAAAGCAAGCGGAAATCCCACTGTTTGCTCTTCTGAGGAGCATTCTGGGTTTATTTCTTCTAATACTGATTTGTTCATTTTTCTGGCAGTCACAGTGTATTCATTATCGTTTGCCAACATCACAATTTGAATGCATCACTTCTTTTTAATGGATGAGCATTTACAGAACATATTGGTATGTTTTTCTTAAATCTAACTGCATTCATACTGTGTGTTTTATCCTACTCAGTAATATATCATAAAAACAGCACAACTCCTGAGTGTATAAAATCCTTAATTTTTTGCATTTCAGTATCAAAGACATACAAAGTTTGTAAATGATTATATTTTATACTATGGTGGTAAAAAAGACGACTTCAGGCGTTTGGGGTAAGTATCATGAACTTTGCAGAGAATGGGAGGGGAGTGTGGATAACTTTTAATTAAAAGGCTTCAGCGATCTTGTGATGCTAGGCTTTCTGATTCTGCCTCTCTCCTCTGTTTTCTATTCTGCTTTCCTTAGTGTATCATAAGGTGGAGATGCTATCCACAGCTTCTAGCTAACGAGGACACTCATTTCTTTGGCCACAGGACCTCCTTAGAAGCCTCCTCACATGTTGACTGTGACACTGACAGGACTTCTGAGAAAAACTTTAGACTTTGATTATTCAGTACATTTTTTTGTTAAGGAATTTTTTTTTTTTTTAGTTCGTACATGCACAAGTTTATTCCAAACAAAACATTTTTAAACACATCTCTGATCAGCGGATGGCTACAGACAAGTTCTATCAATAATATACATGTCTTAGTCGTCTACTTAAGATGCCTTGTAAAAAAAAAAGTGGGGGAGGCAATCAGATTTTGTAAGTAATTTTGAGATATTTAAGCTATTGCAAGAAACCTCACTCTGGTGTTTCCTGACACACAAATTTTTTTTCTACGTTTGAGGCTCTTCTGTCAGTACCTTTTGCTTTTGTGTGGGCTTTTTCCCTCTGATGAGTCGATTTTCATGGTGTGGTGCTGTGGGTTAATGTGCTGGACTACAAGGTTGGTTTGAACTGCGAAGTCAGCAGTTCAAGTTCTCCAGCCGCTTCTTGAAAACCCTATACAGGGTTGCTATGAGTTGGAACTGATTAGACAGCACTTAACAACAATCAAGTTTCAGAGTTGGAAATACCTGAACAGACTTTGCTGCCATGTCATTTACCCAAATGTATCTCCTCTGTCAATTTAGCTTTCTTCTTTCAATAGCTCCTCGCCTTACCCTCAAACCGTTAGCATCGGACCCCTCAACTCTTCCTACCTTACACTATATTTCTAGGAAACTGTAGTAAAATGAAGTTTGGAAAACTTTTCATATTTCTTAAAAAGTAGAACTCAATAGAGTGGTGTTATTAACATTTTCTTATTCATTGAGTGTTTATTCAGGTTTGTTTATCCTAGCATCGGTAACTTAGCACCATTTGTATAATTGAAACCTAAGCAAGAAACAGCTGGGTTCTGTATCCATTTTGTCTTGCTTTTGTAGCATCACTCTTTAAAAGTGCCTTTTGAAAATATGCCAGTAGTTTTATGTATACCAGTGGACTTCAAAAGATTTGTGGAAAAATGGAATGAAAAGTTAATGGAATTTCCATATGTATCTATAACTATGTGTGTCTTCATGTATTAGGTGTTTACTCAAGTTTTCAAAGTCTCACAGAACTGATGAGACTCCTAAATTTTGTCTTTGTATTCAATGTCAATAATGTCCTTTTTCAGGGAAAATGACAGAACAGACCTGGATGTTATACGAGAAAATCATAGGTTCCTGTGGCATGAGGAGGATGAAGTGGACATGACTTGGTAACAGTAGCCATCACAGGCCTAATACAGCAGATGTTTTTGTCCGAGCTCTTGACTCTTCAGGGGGTCCTTTCTCTGTCACTTAGCAGGGTGTTCAGCCCCCCTACAGCAGTTCTGAATGAAGGACGTGCCTGTGATTGTTGAACCTGGTGTGGTCGTATTAGTCATTTTTTGGCCATTTTAACTTCTGTTGCTTGAGTTTGTCTTTTACCACTGTTTTTTTTTAAAAAAAACAAGAATATAGAGTTAAACCTGTGGAAGCTAGAATCTATATATAAGGTGGGTGGATGCATGTCAGTGAAATGGAAAACCAACTCTAAAACAAGTGACAGAAAAGTGGTGGGACTTCATCCTGTCATAGGCAGAAAACATGTAAGACCCAGAAAACCAAGGCAGTCCTGTTGGGTGTAGGCTCTCACTGGTTTCCCTGTATGTTGCCTTACAATATGCTACTGTATGACTCTTTTTAAAGTTTTTAAATATTTTGAGGAAAAGTAATACTTGAAAATGGTTTTAATAAAAGATCAAACATTACAGAGGATTAAAAAGCTGAGACTAAGTCTTTCTCTCATCTCAGTCAGCCCTCCAGTTCTTCTCCTGTAGTGTGGCTAGGTGCTGTCGAGTCACTGCCAACTCTGTGCACACCAGGACAAAACACTGCCCGGGCCTGCACCATCCTCACCACTGCTGCTCTATCAGACCCCATTGTTGCAGTCAGTGTGTAATTTTGTCTTGTTGAGTGTCTTCTACTTTACCAGCATGATGTCCTGAAGGGACAGGTTCCTCTAGATATATGTCCAAATACATGAAACAAAGTTTTGCCATCATTACTTGTAAGGAACTTTATTGTTGTACTTCTTACAAGACAGATCTGTTCACTTTCAGCAGCCTGTGGTCTATTTAATACTCTTTGTCAACACTATAATTCAAAGACATCCATTTTTCTTCAGTCTTCCTTATTAATTGCCCAGCTTTTGCATGCATATGAGGTACTTGAAAATATCATGTGTTGGATCAGGCACACCTTAGTTCTCAAAATAACATCTTTTCTCTCCTTCAGAACCTCTGTTAATAGTTAATGTCCAGATATTCTGTGGACATGTAAGTAATAGGCCTTTTAAAATACATTAATATTTATATCATATCTGTTATTTACTTGACATTGCTTCTAAGTGGCAAACTGTGGTTGGATTTCTTAATGTGTAATGTTTATAATTTTGTGAACCTAGGGAGAAGAGACTTGCAAAGAAATACTATGATAAATTATTCAAGGAATACTGCATAGCAGATCTCAGTAGATACAAAGAAAATAAGGTATGCATTCAGAATACTTATTTATTGTTCAGTAATATATCAAGTTGGTTCCAACTCATAGTGATCCTGTACAGGGTTGCCAAGGAGCATCTGGTGGGTTTGAACTGCCGACCTTGTAGTTCTCAGTCCAGTTCTTATCCTACAGTGCCACAACAGGAGTCCCAGAATAATTTATAAGAGGTTTTTATAGTATTGTTTTTGAACAAGAACCACCAGTTTATAGGAAGTTCTTATTTAATATTTATAGGAGTTTTTTATAATATTGTTTTTAAATAAGAACCACCAGAATATTTATAGGCTGTTATTATTTAATAAAAACAGTATTAGTTTTTATTATACGATCCTGTCATGGCACAGATGACTGGTGTGGCATTGTAGGATCAGCACTTGGACTTCGAACCACAAGGTTGGCAGTTTAAACCCACCAGCTACTCGAAGGAAACCCTGTACAGGGTTGCTGTGAGTTGGAACCAGCTCGATGGCACTTAACAACAACAACAACCCTGTCATACATTATTCTTTACAGATGCTGATTGTAGTCTAAGTTGTCTTCACCTGTGGAGGTTAAATTTGGACCATTTAACCTCAGTAAGTAGGGCATTAGAAAAGGGTCCGTGGGACAAGGATGCTTCTTTGTGAGGTGAAGCATGAAAAGTGTAAAATTAGACACCGGTGGCTGCTGGCTCCTGTTTCCTGCTGACTCTAGTCTGGCTCCATTTAGTGATCATAGAGAATGATTTGACATAGCAGAATGTTTTTTATTCTTTTATAGATGTTTGGACTTGAAAGATTTTTTTCCAAAGTGATAAGCATTTTATAAAGCAAGTATATGTGCATATCTTATGTTACATAAATATAAGGGGTCACAAAAAGTTCGTGGAAAAATGGTATTAAAAAAATGAAATTTTTCTACAAAATTTTTGAAGCCCCCTTGTAGTATATGCATCTACTCTAGTAAAATTGGCTTACCACGGGTAATTATATCTTACTTTAGTGAAAGTTGTTTTTTGGCTCTGGCTCCAGTTTCAGATTTGTAGCTGGAAAAGGTAACCCAGGAACAGACGTTCTCATTTGGAGATACGAGGAGAAGGAACGTTTTATAAACATAAATACGTATATTATGGATGTTGTTTGTTGTTGTTAATTGCCTTCAAGTCAGTAAGGACTCATGGTGACCCTGTATAGTGTTTCTGAGGTTGTAAATATTTGCGAGAGTAGACAGAGTCATCTTTCCCATGGAGTGGATAGTGTATGCTTATATTAAGAAAACCCACCCATCTAAGAAGCTACCTTAGATATACAAGGAGGCTTCTAAAAGTTCATGGAAAAATTCTATTATCTTCTAATAAAATTTTCCTAAGAACTTTTGGAAGCCCCTAGTACGTATCATAAGGATGTCTTTTTTTTTGTTTGGATAGTTGTATCTCATAATTCGTTATTGTTTATTTTTCGTTATTGTTTGGTATGTGTTGGTTCATAATATCTTATAGATAATATAGTATCCATTTTATATCTCATGTTTAAAAATGCATGCACTTGGTATATCATAAAGACTTACTCAGTTTCTTACAGACTGTCAACTCAGGTTTTGGCTTTTGTCTTTCTTTTAGTTATTTGCTGTATTTACCAGAGCTCATTTAGTCCATAGAGCTCTGTAGCGGTTGGAGTTCCTTGAATTTACTACATTGCCAATTGAAAGTAAGATACTAGGTCCCTGTAGTTCAGGAGTGGGAACCTTTTTTCTGCCAAAATTTGTAACATCATTCTCTGGCCGTACAGAACTTAAAAACTATCCTGCTATATTTGGACTTGTGGTGTGGCACTGTATGGTCGGCAGTTCAAACCCACCAGCTGCTCCTCGGAAAGCCTATACAGGGTTGCTGTGAGTTGGAACCAACGCGACCGCACCTAATAACAACAACATATTTTTAATTAACTCACCCTTAAGGTGATGGCTCTGTGGGATAAAGCACTGGACCGCAAGGCTGGTTTGAATCACAAGGTCAGTGGTTCAAACTCACCAGCTGCACCTTGGGAATCCTGTACAGGATTGCTATGAGTCAGAACCGACTGGACAGTGCTTAACAACAAACAACAACAAAGGTGATGGCTGGAAGTGAGGTTGGCAAATGAATTTGTGGGCCTTATACTGCCCACGAGGAGCTTTGGTAGCGTAGTGGTTACGAATCGGGCTGCTAATCTCATAGTCAGCAGTTCGAAACTACCAGCTGTTCCATGGGAGAAAGATGAGGCTTTCTGTTCCTGTATAAGATTTACAGCCTCGGAAATGCTGTACAGGATCGCTGTGAGTCGGAATCGACTCCACGGCACATAACAACAACAACAGCATACTGCCCACGGGCCAGACATTCCCCACCTCTGCTCTAGAAGATGTAGCATAGCATCTTTTTAAAGCTGGCCTTATCTGCTGATTGCTTTTCAGAATTTATTGATTGGGCTGGTTGGGTTGAGGGGAGAAAGTATAAACAAAAAGTAGACAGTTGTATTTTTTCCATTTAAAAAATCAGAGTATGTTACTGGAGATGATACTTTATAGAAGATTATCTTGAAACAGATTTTTTAAAAATTAGAACATGATGACTGATTGGGTGTGAGGCTAAGGACGAGGAAGAAATAGGCGTGGTTCCCAGGTTTGAGTCAGTTCCAAGAGGAGCAGGGGGTATGGAGGTGGGTCTGGTGGCATTGGAGAACGGCGAAATAGTCTGACTCCCTTGCTAGGAGGCATTTTCTTAAACCTCCCTCACCCTCCAGCAGTATTTTATTTCTTTTTAACTAACCAGCTCCTAGTTCGGTGACTAAAAGACTTTCGGCTTTGTTAGTGATTTCCTGCCTGTTTTCCACACTCTCATTCCTTTTTAGGCTTTGTTTCCCATTCATCAGTGAGAATTTAATTGGGTATATGGCAGCCTGGTAATATCCCCAACATAACTTTTAAGGTAATTTGAAAGTGAAAAAGATAGCATAATAAACTGGTAATTGTTCTTCAAGTACTTAAAATCCTTTAAGAGAAGAAAAAGCTTCATGACAGGAATTAACTTTACTTTTTAGGTTGGTAAATGTCACTGTATCATTCAGTGGCTCCAAGTTTGGATTTATAGACAATTTTAAACATAATGTTTAAATTTATTTTTGCATTCATTTGAATTTTTTTTTCTCATCAGTTTGGATTTAGGTGGCGAGTTGAAAAAGAAGTCGTTTCAGGGAAAGGTAATGTTTAATTTATTCATTGTTTTCTTTTTAACAGGGTACAGGTTATTTTGTTACATTATTGAATTGAAATCATTGGTTAAAAGGATCCCTGGTTTGTACAATGAATGACTACCAAAATAAGATTGCTGTTGCTGCATGCCTTCGAGCTGATTCATAGCAATCCTGGGGAGGCTGTAAATCTGTACGAGAGCAGAAAGCCTCATCTTCTCCCAGGGAGTGGCTGCTGACTTTGTGGTTAGTAGCCCAGCATATAAGCCACTGTGCTACCAGGGCTCCTTCAAGTAAAATTGTCGAATTGATACTGACTCTTAGCAACCAACCCTGTGTAAGGTTTCCAAGGAGTGGCTGGTGAATTTGAGCTGCCGACCTTGCAGTGCAAACCGACCTTGTGGTCCAGTGCATTATCCCATAGTGCCACATAGGGAAGGTATAATTGTGGTTCATTAGCAAAGTTCAGAATGTAATGCTATAATGATTTTTATAGAATTTTTGCCTTTAGAACATCCAATTGTTAACAACTTTTAGAAAAGGCAAATACATCATTTTTCAGCATAATCTCCTTGCTTTTCAATACACTTGTCCATCTGTCAATAAGCTTTCATATTTCCTTATTAAAGAATGTTTTAGGCTGAGCTCTGAGCCACAAATGCGCCACTGTCTTCATTTCTTCATCAAAGGTGAATCTTCTTTCTTGAAGGGCTACTTTCAGGGTATCAAACAGGTGAAAGTGCAATGGAGCAAGATCAGGACTATAGGGACGATGCTTTAACACCTCAAAATGAAGTTTTACAGAGTGTCAGCAGTGTGGGTAGAGGTGTTCAAACATGCATTGTCATGAAAGATCCGAACTCCCTTTGATAGCAGTCCTCTTCATTTAATCAGAAATTTAGGCTTCAGCTCTTCAGCGTCTCACTGTAACCAAGCACTGTTGATTATTGAACCTTTTTCCTGATAGTGTTCCAATACTGGCCTTTGAGAATCCCAGCAAATCGTAATCATTAATTTTCCAGCTGATGGTTAACTTTTGAACTTTTTGTTGGTTGGTGATTGAGGATGTTTCTGTTCCGTACTCTGTTGTTTACTCTCAGGCTGCTAGTGATGAATGTGTGTCTTATTACCAATAATGATGGTTTTTAAAGAAACTGTTACCTTCCTTTGAGTATCAGACCAAATTTTGTTTGCAGATGTCTAAACACTGTGTTTATGGTGTTCTGTTAGTTATTTCAGTCCCCATCTCGCACAAACGTTTAGAAACCCAAGTCTGTCGTGGGTTATTTCATAGGCAGAGCCAGGGTTGATTTGCAAA